TGATAGCAATGATGTGGCAATGATAATGTCACTAAGGGATCATGTATATTACACAGGTCATGACGCCAGGCCTTCAGGGCGTACGCTGTCAGTACTTATTTTCTGATAATGACCTGCTTACTATACATTATCCCGCTTATTATACGGCTTTGTACCAACCGAACGCACAACATAAACTTCAGTCCACTTTTAGGAATGCCGTAAGGTTTAGTTAATGACAGAAAATAAAATAGTTCCCAAAGACTTTCCCGTGGCTATGCGAGTAACAGTTAGGCTGGCAACTTCCAAACTAGAACTCTCTCGAACTGCATGAAAACTGAACAAAGAATTCCAAACATCAGCGGTGAGTGACCCAAACATAAACTCAACCTAAATCCATAAATTGATCTTCTGAAAATGTGTCCTAAAATGTCCCGGATTCTACTTTTTCGCGATCGCTTTTTCTCGCATTAAAACTGTATTTTTGTTATGAAAACGTTCACAGATACTTCTGGAAACCTCCGTGCACTTGTATTGCAGAATGTATATGTATAATGTATTCTCCGATTAACATTTATATGTGTTGATTGATTGGTATTTGCGTTAATTGAGCGTAGCTAGCGACGATGTGTAGATTTGCGGAGTAATCTACACATCTGAATTACAAGAAGAGATTGCGTTGCCAAAGGGCAGCGTTCATTATTGTTTTGAGAGGTCAGTTATCAAGAAATAATGACGTTTTGAAATTACATTCAAATCAATGGAGTGTTCTTCTGCTGCTGTGAGGAGCTGTGGATTAGACTAGTTTCTAGTGGATCGGTTATTCCCGCATCCGGGCCAGAAAACATGCTTGAGTTTACGTGAAAGCGGTGGTTACAAACAGGTATAATTTACTCCTATAGGCTCATGCTGATCAGCCGGAGCCTATAAGCTTATTTCTTGGCATGGCATTTAAAGAGCAATAAGTGGAAGTCGGTGCAGTCTGTAGGTCATCAAATATTTATTAGAGCTCAAAATTGAACATTGAGACGTCTGAAAGGGAAGCATTTCACTTTTGCACATATATTGCTCAAAGAGTATTATCCCGATCAGCGAGACAAATTGTTGTTCCGCTGCTTCTGATCAGAGATGTTATGTATAATGCAGGAGCTGGCCTGGTTAAGATGCAGTGTAACGGCTCATGTTTTTAGTGTGAAAAGGGAAAATAGATCTATTTCTGACCAACATTGTCAGTATTCTGTACGTTTAAAAAAATAAAGTGTCATTGTGTAAATTTCAGTAAAAATAACATCTGTACAGTATACAGTATATGTATCGATTCCCTAGCACACGATACCCACACACGTCTAGTACAAATAAAATACTACAATGTTGTGTACGCTTCAATGAAGCAGATTTTATATGAAGCAGGATTAATATATGCTCATAAAATGTATATTGTCAGAAATGTGTTGTGCGACACATTTTGAAAATAATGTTTCTGCCTGACAAGTCAAATAAAACCATTTATTCATTTGACAAAATCGTCAAATCAAAAGAAATGTTCCCAAAGTCAAGTGATGTTTTATACCCTTTTGTTTTCAAAGAACTTCAATAATTGCAGGTCTTGCAATTTGGGACTTCAAAAAATATGATTTGACTGATTAATCATGCAGCCCTACACAAGCCGTGTGTGTGTGTCTGTGTGTATGTGTGTGTGTGCATGCGTGTGTGTGTTTCTGTGTGTGTGTGCGTTTTAAATTTCTGTTGCTATAATTTGTTTGCATGTTGTTGTATATTATTTTCGTTATAGTATATTACTTCAGATGGAAACATCTCTGTCTTTGACCTCAAAGTCTCTCTTTTTGTTCCCTTTCAAATAAAGACTATTTACAGCGATGTGCGATGACAGCCCTCGCCACTCCTGGCGACAGCCTCCCAGGCTCCGGTGTCAGACTCCGGAGTCTCTGTCAATGCCCCCTCCTCTAATCACATTCACTGTATGTCCTGCAGTTTTACATTGACATACATTATAGATGCAGTGGCATAGAACCAGCAGCCTTGTATATAACACAGCTGTGGTGTGGTTGACTTTGTTTATTGGAGGGAGCTACGTAACTAAACTAAAGCGAGCGCTGAAGCAACCTGCTGTGTTTGCTGTGTTTTCTGTGTGAGGCATAACCTCAAAGAACCCCAATACTGAGCTAAACTGTTTGATTTCACATCCAAATCATTCAAATGTGATACATGCTCTTCTGTGTGATCACCGTTTTACTTACTGATTACCTGTCGAGGTGTTTTAACAGCCAAAATGAATTCTTTAGTCCACACTGGCCTCTGACAGGGGAAATTAAATATTTTCCAGTGCTCCAACAAAACAGCCTCTCACATCGCCTTCAGATCTGGTAATGATGCACAAGATGGCATTTTCATCTTTTAAGCAGTTTTTGGCATTTTGCAACACAAGATTGAGTGACCTTTCCTGAGGGGCGGGTAAATACAGAGACATGTGTAAATAAACAAGCTGCGGAGATTTAGATAAACATGAATCTTTGCCTAATTCTAAAAGCTTTTCAATTGGCGGTTCACAGACTCTGGCAATGTCATACCGTCAGAGAGAGGGCGAGAGCAGATTTTCCTTTTGAGCATTTGTATTTTATCAGCAAATATGGGACAAATATACATAAACTAGCACACCCTTCAATTGGCAATATAAATATATGTGATGCATTCTAAATGGAAACCAAGCAAAAATGAAAGTCGCCTCATCTTTTCTACCTGCCTTTGGGATTTTTTTGTGAGAAACAACCAACTTCACTCTTACTTATTCAATTAGGAATGTTAAGCTTCACTACTCACCCACAGTGGACAAAAGCATATTCCTTGTCTTTGTTTAATTTCTGGGATTGACACACCTGTCCGTCACTGTCTGTCCATGGGAGTTGATTTCTTCAGTGTCGAGAAATGAGGACGTGGTTTATCTTTGAGTCCCTCCATATATCGAGCAAGAGGATCAAGGCTTTTTATATGATTTGTGCCAATGTGCATAAGAACAGAAGATGTCACATACATTTAAATCATGCTCAGGCTTATGATGTAGATACTGTAATAACAATTTGGACAAAACAAAGACGTGCAGTTCTTCAGATTATATTTTTTAGCAGTAATACAGATATAACAGGGGTCCACAGTACAAATTATGGGTCAGGTTCCAATATAAACTGCGATCTTTCCTTCCCAACCAATCACCCAATCATGTGTTATGACATACGAGAATGGTCCTCTGTCCCATGGCAGTAGAACTTTCCATCTATGTTGACTGTTTGAGATTTCACAACATAATCATCAATTTTTCTGATTATAGTACTTTTTAGTTCAATTGACTTTAGTACAAAGTTGTGTGTATCATTGCTCATGTACCTTCAATACTCGTTTGTGCTTTAGCTACTGTTGTGTGCCTCTGAGTGTGTTGACATTTAGCAGGAGTGTTGCCTTAATCAGCTGTCTTCCCTTTGTTGCGAGATAGGGATTAGAAGTTACCCCCCACTGAATACTTCTTCTCCAAACATTGTACAACAATTTACGCTCCAGCTCTCAATCCTCTGTGATCAGCTCTCGCTCCGACATAATCCCAAATCCTGAATACAAAGAATAACTAAAATATTTAAACCCTCTCAAACATGGAGCTTTCAAACATGCTCAATATCCAAACAAAAGGGTTAGGATCGTAGCAGGAATATCCTTTGAATCATCTTTGCTTTAGTTAAACCTATATTTTCCAAGATAACACCATCAGTCATTCACACCTCCTGCTTTTCACACTATTTCACAGGCCAGCAACAGATTAACAACTTTCACAGACTTTAGTAGGCCAAATGTACATCAGCGTTCATCATAAACTGGAGATGACAATATGGAAGAATGGGGGAGAAAATAAATTCTGTCAGAAATAGTAAAATCAGTGTATTTTCACAATTTTTTTGGCCCTTGTGAAAAATGGATAAGCTATGTAAGGCTTATAAATGGGGTATAAGATAGAGTGAATTCGTACATACAATCAATATTTGCAGATCACCAATACAGTAATGTTTTGGGGTGGCAGAGTGGATAGCTATCGCTTCTCAGCAAGAAGGTCCTCGATTTGAATCCCTGTTGTTACAAAGGCCTTTCTGAGTGGAGTTTGTGTGTTTTCCTTGTGTCTGTGTAGGTTTTCTCCGGATTTTCTCGTCTCCCCTACCACAAAAACATGTAGAATAGGTTTGGCAAGCATGTATGGCGACCCCGCTCCCATCTCTGTGTGGAGTGAGAGGAAAAATGCCCACAATTGCAAGGCACTATCTGGCTCTGGTCTGTGAAAAGCACTGTGTAGCCAGAATCAAACTCATTACCAGTGGCTTAATGTATATGTTGTATTGGATGAGCGATAAGCGTCTTTGATTTGGAACATTGTCAGAATTTGAAACACAGATACATTCTGTACAAGATTTGAATCAGAAAGAACACAGAAACTATTATTATCCTACAGTTACTTCTATTACGTGAATCATGTGAGTGGGCACCAATAGGAGAGATTCTGCAGTTAGAAGTTTGTACTTTCCAATTGTTTCCAAGTGTGTGCATCAATTTGCTTTATATAAGTCACATTGCAACAGTTATGGCTGTTCTCGATCCTTATCTAACTCTGTGTAAATCGTGCAACTTTTTTAGCAGACTGCATCCAATCAGCCGTGACAGGTTCCCAGCTCCTTTTCTCTCGCTAAATGAAATGAAAGCACACTTCCTCATGCTGTTTTACACTTTTCACCATTAAACACATTATTCGCACTGGATCCTTTTGCCTGATTCAATAATGAGTTTCAACCCTTCTCTGCCCCCCTCTGTCCTCCTCTTCCCTCCCCTGTTCTCCTCTGCTCTCCTCTTTCCTTCTCTTTCCTTCTCTGCTCTCCTCTGCTCTCTTCTACCCTATTCTATCATCCTTTACCCCCCTCTCTCCTTCTCTGCCCTCCTATCTCCTCCTCTCTCCTCCTGTAGCCTGTGAGCTGATGAACCAGGGGATCTTGGCGCTGGTCACGTCCACCGGCTGCGCGGCGGCTCTGGCGATGCAGTCGCTGACGGACGCCATGCACATCCCGCACCTGTTCATCCAGAGGAGCAGTGACGGCGCGCCCCGCACAGCCTGCCCCTTCAGCCCCAGCCCAGAAGGAGAGAGCTACACCCTGGCGGCTCGTCCTCCTGTGCGGATCAACGAGGTGCTGCTCACGCTGGTGGCAGAGCTCTACTGGCAGAAGTTCATCATCTTCTATGAGACGGACTACGGTGAGTGCAACCCAACTCCTTTTACTCTACGGCTAGCGAATAGCTCAAGCAGGAGACAGACCCGGGTTACTCCTTGGCTCTTGGGTTACTACATTTGTTCTATCTTCTTCTGTGACCTCACCGCCTCCCCACACTTACACATGTGTAGCAGACAAGAATACACGCAAAGAACAATGGCTGCGGGTCAACTAATGCTGCGTGTGCTTCGAGAGCTACACGGAGGAGAATTCTAATCCTTCGTTCGGCCAAACAAAAGTTGAAGTTTCAGTTTCCATTTACGCAGCAGCTCTTAAATGCAGAATGATGTTGGTGCATTCTTTCCTGGTTTTTCGGTGGCCTGAGGAGGATGTTGTTGAGGAAGTGGTTATACTGGAAGGTGTCACGTTTTAAAGTTCCACTGCCCACTACTGGCCGGGTGCTAGAACAACATTTTTTTCCATCGCCGTGAAGACGCTTTGCACTTTGAAGCCGGAGCGGAGTTGTTTTTGTGAATTGCTTTGCAGCGTCTCCGCAACGTCCCCGTCCAGACAGGACCTAAAGGTGATATCAGTTCTCGATCAGTCCACTCCTTCTTCGCTCTAAGGACATCAACTAATACTGTGATGCAAATCTACCTTCATACAATGCAGAATTGATATGTATTTCCTCAATTCCCAAAAACAAAGGTCATACGCTATCGTTGTTCCAAACAATGAGACTACTGAATACTGAATACTGTAATCCAAGAGAAGTGGGAGTGAATGTGCTCCTCTTAAATCTTCTGCTTCTGTAGTGTGGCTGCTGTAATTGCTCTTGAATCCTGATGCACTGTCTCCAGAGTGAAGCAGACAGACAGAGAAGATCAGGGCACCTCTGAAGCAGCGATCGTCGTGTGGGGAGGGATACACTGAGCTTAAGATGAAAACACGTCGAGCCACTTGGATGAAGACTTGCGAGTTGTTTGTGTACGCGGATAAAAACACATTTGTCTCCAAATTATAGAGAAGAACACCTCCTATAGTGGCGTACATCAGTCGCATCCTGACAAGTCACTGTCTAATTGGCAGAAAGGGCGCTCTGTTTTATACATATTGTGTTTGTGAGGATTCCTCCAAAATCCCATAGGCGCTAGGCAGAGCTTTTTAATTTGGCAGAAGAATAACAATTGACAATACGAGGCAGGATTTTCAAATGGACATACTAGGAGTTGAAAAGACACTGCTTGTTTTTTATTTATACATGTTTTGTCACGGTGGCAAAGGGGAATGAACCCAAAACGCAGAACTGCAAAAAATGTATTCAATAAAATGTAACACAAAATAAAATCCAGAGTAAACAACACAGTAACCAAACAGGGACTGATGATAAGAACTAAAAACAGACGTTGAAGGACAATGACGGAACAGGGAGTGAAGGAATGTGCAGGATTAACAATTTTTGAGTCCATTAGATAAGCTTGGAACTGAAATCTACCTAATTTCATTTGGAAGAAGTCTTTCACTGGCTTTATACATACAGTAATTCCAGTCAAAATGGTTACCAGTTTCTTGTTACACCAGACATGAATCTGTATAAATCATGTAAACAATTCTGAAGAAATCAATAAACAAAGAAGGAATATGTACTGTATAATAGAATAGAAATATTGTATTGTTATTATTATTATTATTATTATTGTTCTGTTCCTCACTATCTAAAAACAGTCCTCAGGTCATTCATCTACACAAGGTAATTTTTTTTTTTAACATTAGCCATTATTCTACTCATTACAATGAGTAGAATGTAAAACATAAATAAATAGTGATTATTCAATTCCGTTTCCCCGGATACATGATGGTATAAGTGGGTGTATTATAGCTCTGGGTAAAAAACAGGATAGGCAAGAAGATAAATGAATTGTATTACTGAGAGATAAATCATCTAGCCAACCAATCAACAAACTAAAAGCCCAATAAAGGCAGGGGAAGTTTATTAGTATAGCACTGTTCATTCATAAGAAACAAGAAACGACACATTCATATATGGACATTAAAATCCTAAATAATCACAGTACATTAAAAACAGTGGTTACGTTCCTTCAGTTCCTTCACGTTTTCAGGAACATCATATTTTAGCTGCATAATTTCTGAACTGTCGCATCCCCTTGTTTGGGTTGGCCGAAAAATATCAAAAAAGACAATGAAACCATATTACAAGCATCATGTCATGTGGTGGATTGAACCCAAAATGCAGGACTGAAAACAAGCCAGGAACAAATGTGGTATAGACAATGGACGGACAACAAGTGGCACAGAGAATAAATACACACAGGGAGACACAGGTGAAACACATTAGGGCGAAGATTAATCCTAACCCTAACTACATAAAAAAAAGAAAAATAAAATAACAAACCCTAACCCTGTAAAATAAAACCAGGTCAAAATAACCAAAAAGTCCACACCATTGCAAAAACGTATCTCTATTTTTCACGTTCAAGCTTCATCTGACGCAGAGAATATATGACAAACAGGCTCCTTATGTACCGCACATATATATTGACGTCTGCGTGTGTGTGTTCAGATGACCATGGACTTTTGGCTGCAGGCGGCGTTGGATGCACTTTGGCACAGCTCTGTGTTACAAGGGCAGGTGGAGGGAGAGCACAGTGCTGCATTGGCGTTCCTGGGATGATACTTTGCCACTGCTGGCTAATCTTTTTACTACTTAGCCGGGTGCAATCTGGAAGAGGGTGTAAATCTGTTTTATTTGATCTTGTTTTTTTGTACAGTGCGGGGCGTGATGTAGTGTGTAGTATAACGCCATGCCCTGAGGGAGCGCTCGGTGATAGCGAAGGCTGTTGCACATGTATGTCCTTGCATTCTGACTCCTTTCAGAAAGTGTACAGTCAGCATCAAGTGGGATCGATGGATTCTCCACATGGAAACAGGTTTAAGGCTATCTGACTCTGAGTGTTTCCCTTGGGTTTCTGTGTTTTAACTTTTGAACTGTCTGCGCTGGAAGAGTGCTCTCTATAGGAGATGTGTTCTCTGCCTCAAGGTAAAGTACACGACTAAAGGCTGACTCCTGTTGGTAAGACCACAAGACTTAAGGTTCAAGGAGCCACTTTTTTAAACATATTTTCTCTTTTTTTTTGCTTTCTCAAAGTTTGTATTGTAATTTTTTTGGGTCATACAAATACAAATGTTTTTTATTGCATATATATTATTGCTCTGGAGGTTCTTTTGGGATTATTTTAGATCATTAATATGTCCATCCATGTCCAGTTTTATACACAAACATTTGAAGTTCTAACACAAGTCAAAGTTATACTTTTTTTTTGAAAACAGTATGTGTTATTAGGTGACCAGCCCCATTTGATGTAAGTCCTCAAGGACAAGTCAATGTAACATTATTTTTTATGGAATAAGTTCAAACACCAAACACCTGCAGTGAACATAAATCACACTTTATTCCCTAAATCCCTCATAACAATTCAATGTGACTTCATTTAAAAATACACACACTTTCATCCAGAATATATCTCAAACTTCACAATAACTTTAGGTTGTCAACTCTTCTTACTAGTCAGCTTACCATTTCCGAGGCTTTTATTGTGCAGATATTGTCACGCATTCAGTTTATCTCATGTTACAGATATTATCATTAAACATAGATATTGACACAGCGTCAACAGATGTAGTATTGTAGCCAAACAGAGAATTACACAATGATTTTGCTGCAAACCCGTCATCATGCAGGAATCCAGCCCAGAGCAGGGTGGATTGCCTTTGTACGGCACTGCGGCTTATGTCAAACCCACAAACGCTGTTTCTGACAAGACACTGTTGAGATATAATGAGTGGGCATAAAAGAAAAATATGTATATACACCAGTGTTTTTTACATTGGCCAACTGGCACTTCTGTCATTTGTGCATGTGTTTAACTCTGCGGCCATTTAATTAAGGAGTGTAGAGGCTAATTAGGATGGTCATCACAGAACAGCCACACCACATGCTTTCACCGCCCTGGCCTCACATTTAGTCAATAGAGTTAAATATAGTTAACTTAGTGCTTCTGGGGACAAGCAAAACAGGATAACTAATTACACTGTGTATTAGCTTTTTTATACACAAGCTGTTGTTATATTTCCCATTAGAAGTATTGATAATGTCACATAGACTGTGTATTAATGGACAATGCTAACCCCCTGGAACAACGCACCCCAAAAGGAAAGGGCTCATGGACGAAGTTTTGCTCAGACTCCTCTAGGGCATTAACCATTTGTGTCACTTCACTATTTTGGTAAAACAAATATACATGTATATACTTGGTTTAGTGTGCTCTATTTTTTTTGTATATTGTCTCATCAAATGATATGAGGCATAAGGATTGACCAATCAGTAGCCTTCATTCGTGGGGGGAAGCTTGTCCTAGCAACTACGTTAGAGACACAGCTCAAAGCTAATGGCCCGTACACACCGCAATCGCAGCGAGTGACGAACAATAGCAACACAAATCAGATGTTCTCATGGTCTCTGTGAGTTTGTGAGGTCAAGACTTTTTGAAATAAAAAAAACAACGTCCGCTTCATACGACGTGTGCGGTGTGTACGTGTAAGTCTGTCAAAACAAATGCCAAGAGTCATAGGAGGAAATTGGCTTATGTTCAAAACAGCTTTTTCTGCATTTGTAAATAATGGCATGAGGACAAATGTTGTGGTCTAAAGTTTGGAAACAAAAATTCAATTCCATAATGATACAAGCACTTCAAATTTATGTTGATTAACTTCTTGTTCTTCACTTTCCATCACCAACATAATCACTCCAAGTCTGAAACTGCTGTATCTGTGAACTCTGCAACTTAACATGGATAAATAGTGTGTTAAATGTGATGAGTTTAGTAAAAACAATAATAAAGAGACAGTGAACGTCCTTGCAGTGTAGATCTTCTAAGAATAAAAAGTTCTGAAATATGGTTTGTTGATACTTCAGTTATAAGTGACATGATCCTTGATGAAAAATATCTTTCAAATACACAGCTC